TAAATCATTTCATTTCTGGGAAAGTAAATATCATTACAAATTATTACATAAAATCTTTATATGTAATTACAAACTTAAACCAAATGAACAGGTAATGACATAGGCTATAAAGAGTCGGTTTGCCTTATTTATACATCTGAATTATATGCTTTTGCAACAATCAATTTCAACTAATCAAGTTCAATGAAATCATAAGAAGTGGCACATTTGCATTAATTAATTTCATGATACTCCTTAATCTTGAATATTCCATGAGAGTCATCCCAATCTATAAACATCAGAAAGTAGAAATGAACTCACATCTATACTCTTATGCGAATTTTACGATCTCTCCTTTTTTAATCCTTCTCTTTATGCCTTGTAGAACTATCATTTGAAATTCCCTACTTTGCTGTCATCTTAACCCATTCGTGACAGGCATGTCACGTATCTGTGACATGCCCACTGTGAGTTTACTTGTTTAATTGTTTTAACACATAGATGGCTACACTTGTACTAAATCACCAATGAGCCAATTACAGGTACTGCCTGTCTCGTCTGTTTCCCTTTTCTTTATCACATTATCTTAGTTTGCTATTACTAATGTTTATAACAATATAGTAATTATAATGTTTATAATAAAAATAACACCATCAAGATTCATAGCACTAGTATAAAATACATTTTCCCGCCAATGCAAGGAAAGGTGAAATCAGGTAAGGCAGAGCCATCTATGTGTAGAGACATTTCACAAAAAATATAAAAAATGAGCACAGCATTTTCCCCATTTTTTATTCATTGTCCCCATTGCGAATGGGTTAAACTATGCATTTCATATTCTTCTTTACCTCAATCCCTATCTCCTCTCCCTCATTTTCTCATTTCTTTTGTGCCTATTTGTCGTTCTGATCTCCCTATTTGTGACGTATTTTATCATGTCTATCACACCCATCTGTATCTAAACTTTACAGCTTTATATCACCTATTCTTGGTCATTTCCATATCTCTTCTAGAGTCAAAATGCATATACTATGAAATTACATGTGCTTATCATACATATTTCAAGTCATACCTAAAGTATCCATAGGCAGAAAATAAAGGTGAAATTTAATGCAGATATATATATAACTGTGACCATTTTCTAACACAAACTCTCTCTAGTTCTTGGTGAGTTTTTGTGCTCTGTTTGCTAAAAAAAGCTATAAGCCATAAAAAAAAGAAGAAATAGCATAAGGAGGAAGTAAAAATAAAATGAAACGAAACTAATACTCAATATAAATACTGCCGATCCTGTATGGTTGCGCCTATAGAGCCAAGGGATATTTCTGGAAACTATAAGACTGGTAATCAACAACATATATAAAAAACCTTAAATGATAATCACTGCTTTCCACACTATATCTAACATAAAAGATCCCACTTACAAAGCCTTAATGCTAAAACAGATATACTCATGGGGAAAAACTAGGGAAATAATATTTATAATTACTCATTACTCTATATCTAAAGAACCTAAACTAAAATAAGACCTATCCAAAATATATGTCTAATCTGTCTAAGTACTTTGAAAATTAAATAGTATATCTGTATATCTGGATGCAAATTTTTTTGAAATGTAAAGAAACTCACTTTTCAATCAAAAATAAAGCCTTGAACTCCAAACCTGGTAACACAGTACAATAATTAATTAACTTTGTAGACAGTTAACAAAATCATGTAACATAATTAAATAATTAAAAATCATTGGAAGTTGGAAGTATTTTAGTAGACAAAATAAGCTAAAAGCCCTTTAAACTTTTTTATAACATATGTATGTATGTGTGTATGTGTGTGTGTGTGTGTGTGTGTGTGTGTGTGTGTGTGTGTGTGTGTGTGTGTGTGTGTGTGTGTGTGTGTGTGTGTGTGAGTGTGTGTGTGTGTGTGTGAGTGTGTGTGTGTGTGTGTG